GTAAAATGTAAAATAAATGCATACAACTTTTCGAGCATCCACTTATTACCAGACATTTTTCCGCCTGTAATTGCTCAAAAATTCTAATTTTACCGATCATGCAATCTTTCAATTATTTTGCCAACAAAATTTTAGTTTTTGTTTTTGTAGTAAATTGTGGCTAAAAATTTATTTATAAATCGAGGCAAAAATTTAAATGGAAATAGTTAATAAGCGTTCACAGTGTGAATGCCAACAATTTGCTGACGACATATTCATGATGCTACAAATGGTTTCCTTCAACTTGGAACGTGCCATTGTAATGGTGGCATGCACTTAAAATACCAATACTCATGCATGTTGCGCAGCTGTATGTATGTAAGCCTATTAAAATATTTGCAAAATCATTTCTGTGCAAATTTGTTTGCTGCGAAAAAGGGGAGAGGGTGAAACAAACGACGTGCATTACAGATGATTATTAGAAGAGGTTTGAGATATTTTTCTCCATATTTCAAATTTATTCCTTTACCAGTTTCTCTTGACTTTCTGATTGCTGTAACGTTTTTCTAACGTTTTCAGCCTCTAAACAATAAGTATCGAATATATTACTTCAGCAGGATTTGACCTGAACGATAATTCTTTTAAATATACTTCATGGTGATGAGATGAGATGAAAGCTATCACAGTCAAGGCTAAATGCAAATTTTAAATAAGCTAACTTAGGTGTTTCTTGATTTAAGTTCGAATCTCTTGAATTGGTTAGAATGGGAATGAGACATTCTACGTTGTATTTGTTATTCAGTCTCAAAATATTTTCCCATTGAAGTCTATTCTGGTGCTGCCACAAATCTTATAGATTACCGCTAGTCATAATTATCTTGAATGCCTGGAGTTAACGATTGTGATTATTTGGAGATCTTTCTGGATCAACTATGTAAGCCTAAAGTAAGACAGTTCTAATCTTTCTGAATTCATTCGACCCAGTCCGAACTTTTCATGTAGCATCATCCCTTTAACTACCGGTTCCTTTTACCTACTCAGTTATTTCTGTTTTCCCTATCTATTTTTCCTTTCTACAATATATTGTTAACATTGCGAACATCAGTGCTTACAAAACTCTATGAAGTCAGTCACTGAAAATTAAGCTAAAATTTCTTTTATTACTTCAAAAGTTTTTGAGGTTAATAAACAGATGATTTATAGCTTCCTAAAAAGGAAATATTTTTTTCTCTTGAATCAAGATAAATTTAAATGTGCAATGAAGATGAGGAAAATATTTTTCTTATAAAAAGATTTCACAATAATTGTTATTATTATTAAAAAAATCACTTGAAATAAAAAACCATAATGCAAAAATCATAATTAAAAATAATTGAAAGTGAAAAGCATTTTGCCTTTAATATCATACTTGTAGTTTAAATATTGATGTGCTATAAGTTTAAAAATAAAAGTTTAAAATATTATCATGGAAAAACAAAAGTGAGGGGCATGTGAACGTATTTATAACAATATGAGCACACTTATCAGGATTTGGTATGCATAAAATTATTCACTTTTCCAATGTTGAAGAATAAGTTTTGTGCGAATTTCAAAGTCGTTTACTCAGAAAAATCTCGCAATATCACCAGTATGTACTTGTATGTATGTACGTTTGTATTTCTATATGCATGTACGTACGTATCTGTGCTGTTCGCCAATAAATGGAGGTGGAGAAAAGTATCGAGAGTGAAATTATTGCCCATCAGAATTTAGAAATACGAGTATTATGTATAAGAATGTTCTAAGGTGTTGGAAAATAGAAGGCAGCTGTAGCACGCGCCTAATATAAAACCATATACCACTTATTATAAATACCTACACATATTTATGTGAATAAATATATCTTTATTATAAATGTTTAAAAGTTGCATGAACAACTGAAAACTTTTTTTCTGTGGTCAATAGTAAAATCAAACGCTCTCTAACTACGCTCGCTACTATTTTTGTACGCTCTCAGGCTTTCATTTGTATTCGGAGCAACTTCAAATGCACAGGTTGCTCAGTCGGTCTTTATGTGTACCTGATAAGATTCAGAATGAATGAAATAAATGATTTCAGTCAAGGTTCAGGTTTAAGACGTTATTATTTCCTCTTTCAAATGAGAATAAATGAGATTTTTTTGAATTTTTTTGTTATCAATAAGTAAAAAATGTAAATTCACAGAATTTATCATACTTTAATAAATCTACATATAATCAGCCATCTATTGTACCCTGAACAGGGTATATTATGTTTGCCACGAAGTTTGTAACATAAAGAAGGAAACGTCGGAGAACCTATAACATGTATACATAAATGAACAGTATGATAAGCTGAGTTGATTTAGCCACGTGCGTCTGTGTATATGCAAAGTGGTCCGATATCGGCCGTACCGACAAATGAGCAGCTTCTTAGTAAAAAAAAGCATAGGTGTTAAATTTCAGATCGATAGCTTAAAAACTGAACGATCGGAATCAAGTGCTTGTATGGAAAGGCAATTAGGCAATAGTGAAATCTCCGAAAAAATTATACAGATCGGATGGCTATAACATATAGCTGTCAGATTAACTGAACGATCGGAGTAAAGTGCCTGCATGGAAAACTTTTTTATTTGTCGAGACATCTTAACGAAATTACAACATTTGTACCTGTGAAGGGTGTTATAGCTTCGGTACAACCGAAGTTAACGTTTTTTCTTGTTTTGATTTTGATTCCCTTGATTCTGTAGCAGATATCCAGCAGGACCTCCGAAAAAGGGAACATTTTCTCAAATTCAAAAACCAAACAAATAAATTGTTACCATAGATGAGTTATGCAATGATCGAAACACTAGTAAAAATTTTGTTTTTTGTGAAAAAAATTTACATCTGATAGTGCTTTAAACTGGAAATAAATATCAAAACCTTATTTTTTTGATCATTACCTGACATATATATTTAGAAAGATCGTGTAAAAGTTTCAAGTCAATCGGTTATGACATTTCGAAAAAATTTTCCTTACCCACTCTGAAATCAGCGTTTCGAGAAGTACGCATTTAAAGTTAAAGCCGATTACAGTAAGTTAAAACAGTTTAACAAATTACTCATATCTCCGAAACTTTTTACGGGATCAACTTCAAATTTTCGGATAATAGTTTCGAATATATGGACATTCGATATATATATAAGTAAAAAAATTTTTTTTTTGAAATTCACACCTTAAATTCGTATATGATGGCATGTTGTTGTTGATGTACTCAATATATAAGTTAATACAAAAATTCAGATCTGTTCCTGGGTACATGGATCCGACGGTCACTTGAACGGTTTATAAAGATATAAAAATTTGGCGTGACTTAAACATTATCTCAAATTTAAACCTAAAACACTAAAGTGCCTGACCAAATATGGAATTCTTATAAAAATAAAAATAATAGTTATATTTTATTTAATGAAAAATTACTTTTCAATCTTTAACAAAATTTAAAGTTACCGACAACAGTCAAACCAAAACCTCCACAAATTAATCGAATGGTCTTTGAAAATTTAAAAAGAAAAATTAAGTTAGTTACAATGGAATATTTCTTTTGAACCGGTAATTGCAGTCGCTAAAGAATTGCAGCTCTTTGATGTTTTTCGGATTTGAAATTAAATAATATTTTTTTCTTAATTTTGTTAATTTGAAGAAAAACAGACACATTTCACAGTAAATAATTTTATTTTCTTGCAACTCGCCTTGAACCAATAACTTCCTTGACGAAAATATATTTCATTGCTTATTTATTTTAAACTATTTTGCGTTTCTGGGCAAAGATAAATAAATGAAAAGATGTTGTAATTGTTTTGAAGACTGAATTTAGGTTCAATTTATTTTCACTAAATCATTTACTAATATGCTAATTCGGTATAAAGATTTGCAAAACTTTCGCAATTTTCATCCAATTCCACTTCCTGCCTCAAAATAAATGAAAATATTTGCTTTGCGAAGTATTAACCAGACCCATGCGCCAAATATTAGTAGCCCCGACACACCCACTGTGCGCCCACCTACTGGCTCAACTCGCGTGTATCTACAGCTACCGCTTCCTTTCAGTCTTCACTTAACAAAGAATTCTTAGCGTAAACAAATTGCTGCGTCAAAAAGATGAAGAACAAACGAAAACTGCGAATATAATAAATGTTTTTAATAATTTATTTTGTCTGAGTTCTGGCTATTTTAATGTACTCTTTTTCAAAGAATTGTTTACATTTCGACATAAGTTAGACATAAAACAAGAAGAAGAATCAAGAAAAATAAACAATTAAAGAAAAAGCTCTGCGCAATACGGATTATAAAAGAAGAAGATTTTATAGTGAGATATAATGCTCGATTTTAAAAGAATTTTGAAGAAGATTACCGAACTCGTGTACAAAACATTTTTCGTTGTCTTGTGGTCTTTCTTGTGTTTGGAAGCCAAAGTTGCCAACTTTTTATTGTTGGCTTTTTATTATAATTATTTTTTATTTTTTTTAATTTTTTTGTAATAATTTATTATTTATTACGTTGCCATATATTGCAAATTAAATATATATAAATGACTGGGTTATGATCGCAGTGCAAAACTTGAAGCCTGTTTTGATTATTTTAGATATTTTTTATTGAAAAGATTTACCATAAGATGCATATGAATCTACGACATAATAAAATAATTATTTTAAATCAAAATAGAACCCCAATTACCTCGGCCATTCCGGGGACTAGTGGAAATTTCGTTAACGGTTTCAATGAGACTAGTGAAAAAGTTATGAAACTTATTTAACTATAGTCTACAGAGAAGGAAAAAGAGAGAGCGAGCACCACTTACTAATAAGTAAGGAGGGTTAGTGCTCAAGTATTTTTCTATAATAATTAGAAGACAAGATTAGAAAAACTGTAACACAGAATTTCTACTCGTTTCAATATACTTTTATAAACTCTCTTACATATATATAATATTATTTATATTATCTTCGCGGTTCTAATTACTTTCTCTTTTTTTTTTCTAGATGTTGAAGAATTATCTACAAAATTAATGGCTAAATTAGCAGAAGTACAGAGTATGGAGGGTGGAACATTCTTTATTGGCAACGCCGATGCATTAGGTGTATCAACGAATTTCCAGCCGCAACATGTGCTATTACCGGGTAAGTGGACTTTGTAGAATATAACAAAAAAAGTAATTCAAGGTGTTCAATTTTGTGCTTTTACTAAAATAGATTAAGATTTAGAAATATAACACAATGTAGAGATTTTTCGAAATTCGAAAAAAATTTTGATGAAAGTTTTGTAGCAGCTGGAGATCACATTTAGTGTTAAACTGGTAGGAAGATAAAAGCGTCGATAGTTGTTCAAACGATAGTTAAAAAACGGACTCATATATATTTTAATTAGATTTTTTAGTGCTCCTCTAAATTTCATGTAGAACGAATTCCTTATATTTACAATAGTTTTTTCAATGAAATTTGAAGTTTCTAGCTGTTGAGCTTGGATCGATTACATCCCTCTCTGCGTAATGTATCCATAGGACATCATGGCGCTTTTGAATAAGAGTATTACTTCAAATTTCAGCACCCGAAACTCAAGTTGTTGACTTAAGGCGAACATTTATGTCTAAAACATTGCTATTCTAATTGAAAAGCATTTGTAAAAGTTATGAAAACGTAGCAACTCCAATTTTTATCATTAGAGGTGCGCACTAAATTGAGGTTAATGTTGAAAACATTCTCCATATATATTAAAAATCAACAAGTCAAATGTCGAGAATCGATTTTTTTATTCTTAGCTTAGAATCTTCAATAATAAAACGAATTTATCGTAGTACAATCCCTAATTTTGCAACATATGGTTTTGAAAAATGTAAAATATCGACACACAACTACAAGTCTGTACATATTTGTGTAATATACAGGTAGTTCACAGTTATTCAGCTCTCTTTCGCCTTCAGTGCCACATAGAGTGAATACCAAAAATAATTTACACGCCACTTGAGTATGACAATGAAAAATAATTGAAGTGCTTGACTCTTGACTCCTTTTTTTTGACTATCCCTTAGGCGCTATTTGGCTTAACCAATGAGACTCGGATTATTTCAAGAAGACTACATTGTTTTTTGTGTTGTACCATGACCGTTTAAGAGGCAGGCGTGTATGATGTGCGAGTAAAATCCTCTGTGGAAATTAATTGTTTCTGGTGTTTATTTTATGAGTGACATCAGTTACAGAATACCCGCTGTTGCGCATTTGACATCCTTTCTGGTATACCTATTGTGTTAAAGTGCTATGGAAGTACTAAAGAGTACACTTACGTACGCTTTCGTTGTGTGAGCGTCTCGCATGTGCTGGGTTCAAGCACGAGCCACGCCTGCAACTTGAGAAGACGAAGGTGGAGACATGGAAAGTGTAAAAATTTGCATATAAATGTGTGTCGCACGAAAAAAGCATTCAAAAATCAAAATTCAAAAAACTTTCTACGACTAAAATGTATTACAGGAATCTATAAATAAATATCGACGCGGTACTGAGTGACAATTATGATGTGTGGCTGCCATACGAGACGTGTCGCCAGACATATCCATTTATGCCCCACAACTGATTGGGAGAGAGCTTCTCATAAGAGTCTCAAGCATGCGTTTCCATCCTTTTTATATTTTTTGGCTCGATTTTCTCCACAGTGTGATTGAATGTTATTCATACTAAAAACAAAAAGACAAAAAAAATCTTCGATAAATATGTTCAGAAAGCATCGGTAATTAATTTTTCAAACAATATTGCACATAAATACGCTGGTGAACCCTCCTTTTTTGAATGGCAAGTGCGAATATGAATAGCTTTAACGTGTGATTTATTGAAATGTTGACGCGCCAACATGTTAATGAAAAGTACTTTTATTACTCAAACAAAAAAATGGAAAACAATATGCTATTAAAGTTATGAAAAGAACAACAAAAATAATAACAAAAGTAAACAATAACTCTTGAACTGACTGCAGAAAAGTTTCGACATAATTGCTGCATGTCTTCCGACCCCGAAATAAACAGCTGTGTAATCCTACGGTTTGCGTTAATTGTCCGCGAATCGCTTGTGCATTTCTTCTTGTATTTTTTTTTACAGAATTTGCTTCTTCCAAAATGTATTTTTGTAAAACGAAATTTTATTTGCTTGCCGATCACGTCCGACCCATTCTGACAGACGTGCCACAAATAACAGTCAAAAAGTAATGCAGTTTTTTTATATGTTGCATTAATATAATAATTCTGTTGTGGTTTGATAGCTTTTTCATTGTTCTTGTAGTTTTGCGTATTTATAATTTCGGGGTCTTCCTCGATCATCATACAATTGGGCATTAAAATTCTGTGTTGAACTTTTTTGCACTAACTGTGGTGACAGTCATATGTCACTTGAGTTTGACAATTCTGAAACGATAAATTTGCAGTGGTTAAAGTGAAAAATTTGCCATGTTTTAAGGATTGGAACAAGTGTTAATTTATATGTAGATGCGAAGGGAACAAGATACAAAGTCCTTATGAAATATTAATAATGCTAAAAAGATTAAAATTTATGAGAGTGCTTTATTACTTAATGAAGAAACTATTGTTTTATGATTTGAGACCAACGAAGCCAGTTGAGGGCTAAAATGTTATTTGTTTATAGAATGCTTTTCCCAAAAATTCTGCAGTTAGTATTTTTTATCGGTCTCCGACATTTTTCGTGTTTTCTGAAGACTGATTTTTGAAGGTCAACATTGTGTGTAGAAAAATAATTTCTCAGTCTCAGTTTTAAACAAAACATTCCAAGAGGCACAACGTCTTGAAGTGTGAAGGGTTTTCAAACTCAAATTATTTAAACTCATTTTTCAATCAAAATATGTTTTTAGACATTTGGAGTAAGAGGAATCAGACTATGTAATTTATTATTACAGAAAGAACACACCAGAGCATGCTATGTTGCCCCAAATAAAAAAAATTTCACATTCCACAAAGAATGTCTTCATAGTATTTGATTTCCTATACTTAAATTTAAATTTAGGAACTGTTTTATCCGTATATTTTCCATTAGCTTCTCTAAATCTTCTAGTATGTACACTTGAATACAAATATTTACTTCTAAATTTCAATAACAATGTATGGAGCCTTTGATATCAACTTTATTAAGGGATTAGACCAGTCTAGAGTTTTCAAAAAGGTCAAACTTTAACAATTTAATCTGAGAGCAGGGATTAAGTAATTAAATTTATCTCTTTCATACATCATTGAGTGTACATACCGTACCAAGTAAATTTGGATATTTTTCGCTATGCATACGTTTGTCGGCAATAAAGCTGGACGTATAAGATCTCTAAATTATATTAATACAAAATACAGATTTATTTCCAAAATAGCTGTAGCATATATGGTATTTACATTTATATTTATACATTTCCTTTCATCTTTTAATCTCTTTCTCTGTTCTTTAACTCCTTACAGAAAAACCGGCAAAACATCATGAACGGCGTATCTTAAAAACATTACAACCCGGTAATGTTTATATTGAGGAAAATGGCTCAAAAGGATGAGTCAGACATTTTTCAACTATTAATTCTTACAACAATGTGGCCAACGTTAACATTTGGAATTGGAAATGTAAAATCAAAGCAATAACTTTTTCAATCGGACGAAATATATACCGTAATTAACTACTTAATAAAAATGAAAACAAAACGATGTTTGATTAGTAATTAAAGCAACAAACAAACCGTAAAAAATTATGACTTTAACTACTTATCTAGATGTTATAAATTAGTACGAGTATGGCGGGCACTGTAAAATTCAAAAAATAATTGATTGGAAATTATGAAAATAATAAAAATATTCGTCTATAATCATATTGACATAGCATTCGTGTAAACGTATACCCTGCGAGATTTTTGTTTTTACAATAATCTAGAGCATTTGTAAATAAATATCGTTTGATTTAAAAAAAGTTCCAACGGTTCAAATATATAAATTTAATATCAAAATATAAATTTTGGGACATTTCACTGTTCATTTTGAGTAACAAAATTGATTAAAAGGAAAAGAGGAAAAGGTGATACTTTCTTGGGAAATTTCAAGAGATTTTATGGACAGTATTTTTTTTGTATTTCTATTTTGTTGAATTTTTTAAGCTCATTTTGGAAAAAAAAATTTTTTGTTTTAATGTAACACTTTTGTTTTTACTATTTTCTTCACGAATAACAAAATAAATATTTCCGTGCGTAGAATGAATTAATTGTAAGAAATTAACGTATTTTGCACGATTGTATGAACTTTTAAATTCAAATTAGCAGTAAAGAGCTTGAAATTAAACTAAATTTGTAAATTCATTTTAGATCGAAAAAACTGTCACCATAAAACATGGAGTTGTATTTCGCATTTCTAAATTAATTTCTCGCAGGGTATACTTGTATAACAGCAACTACGTGTACATGCACAATTTAACAACACATTTTATGGCTTATATAACGGAACTATCTATTCGTTTATTCATAAAAGTTGGCATACACATCTACATAAATAGATACGTATATACATAATATTAACATAATGTATATAAGTATGTATGTGCTAAGTATGGAATATTTTTGGTTAGAATATCTCGCTCTACTAATATATACCCATATTCTCTGTTGTTGACTTGTTGTAAAAATAAAATTTTATAATTAAAAGTAAAAAAATATCTAAATTAGCTATCAAAAATTAATAAAATAAAGTACATAAAAAAAATGGAAAAACTAAAAATAAATAGCAATAAAAATTGATAAAACTAATATTGAGCTTTGAAAAAAAAAATTTATTATTAATAAAATATTTTAATATGAATAAAAATTAAAAAAATAAATAATAAAAACTGAACTTGGTAGTTTCTATAAAAGGCTATAAATATTTTGTATGCATATATACGTATGCATTTGGTATATAAACAAATTTTTAAATTGTAAATATGCTTAATACTAATATATAATTGTATGTTTACGTTAACATTAAAATTTATGTTTTTTTTTGTAGTTAAAAATAACTACATTTATATAAATAACTAAAAATTTATTATCGTTTAATTTTTACTTAATGTATTGTAAATACTATAAATGTTTTTATTGCCTAATAACATATATGGGAAAATGAAACTAAGTATATCACAAACATATCCAGTAACAGTAATTTATGCTACACAGTGCATAGTTATTTATAATTTTCTCAAAAAAAAACAAAAAAATAATATAAAAAACACATATAAATATAATTAAAAAAAAAAAAACAATAACAGCAAGCTAGTACGCTCAACAATATTTTTACTCTTACTCCTGCATTTGTATGTTGACTAAACAAAAACAAAAAATTTTTATAAATTATTTAAGTTTTAAGTTGACATATCGATTTGATCGTTAAACGATTTTTCTTTAAATTTTTTATTTAATTTTATTTCGTGTATTTTTAGCTGCTAAAATTCGATTATGTAACAACATATTTTATACATACATACGTACATACATATTTTCGTGTATTTTTGTATATGTATAACGAAATACATATTTAAATTAGTGTTGTTGCATTGTATTAAAATATACAGATGTATCTACTTATATATTATATATACTTACATATTTGTTTGGTTAATTGTATTTATGTATGAAAAATAACTGTATGTGTACATATGTTTGCGCGTATCTATCTATGTATGTCTACATATTATATATTATGGTTAGGTGTAAGAGCGGGTAATTAATAATGGTCAAAGGCATAAAGTGTGTAATAAAATATATTTTGAAACAAATGAGACGATATTAAAATAATTCGAAAAACATGGTAAGTAACATCCTTCCTGAATCCTGATATACAATCTATAAAACAGAGCCAACAAAAAATTTGATAGAAATCCAAACTTAGTGTAATTCTAATGAAATATCAGAGACTACCAACTAAAAGTTTTGAGCCCAATGAAACTTTTTCAACTTCCCATATATATATAGTATATTGGGGGAAATAAATCCACCTAAAATATATTAGGTAGGTAGGTAGGTAGAGTGGCTGTCTTTCGACACACCTAGGCTTTAGGAGGCCCATTGTGATATCACCGGGTCTAAGGTCCCCTCACTCTATTGTTTCCTCTCTGAACCACCCCGTACTTCTGATGAACTTCATCAGTAAGATAAGCTTTACCGTGCAACCTCCGAGACGTCGTCAAGAAACCCTCGATCGATGGCTGCGATTATTTTCCCGTATAGAGCCGTGCAATCGCATAGAAGATGTTTAATGGTCTCCTCCTCTTCTACCTCCAGACAACTTCTGCAAAAGTCGGTATATGTCATACCAAGTCTACTTGCATGTCTGCATATTAGACAGTGGCCTGTTAGTACTCCTACTAGAGTTCTTAAATCATTCCGTTTGAATTTTAACAGTCGGCATGTGCGACTCATATTCCATTCATGCCACGTTTGCCTGCTAGTTGAGCAAGTCAGGGACTAATTCCACTGAGACTCACCTATGTTTATGATATGTTTGTCGATTAAATATCTACAAGTAGTCAGAGGCATATACTTGTATATGTCCTCCTTACCAGATTCTAGTTGTAGGTTGGTGCCTGTTCTGGCTAGTTCATCTGCTACACAATTCTCACCTTGTCCTGGGATTCATTGCAGGTTTATCGTGAAATAGGATGTCAGATCACTGGTCACTGTCGAATTAGAAGTATATCTAAAAACAAAAAAAATATAAAACAAGTAAGGAAGGGCTAAGTTCGGATGTAACCGAACAATTTATACTCTCGCAAAGTCAAATGGTATACTCGTTTGAGATTTCTTTTTGGATTGACTGATATTTTCGGTAGAAGGTCAACTATAGGCACTGGGGTCCACATATTTAGTACTTAGGGGTTTGAACAGTTTTGGTTCGATTTAGACAATTTTTGGCCGCAAGGTGGCATACTTTAATTGCATTATTCACGCAAAGTTTTACCCCGATATAATCATTGTTACCTGATTTGCATAGTGGAAAGTGAAAGAATCAGATGGAATTGAAAATGGTGTTATATGGGAAGTAGGCGTGGTTGTAGTCCGATTTCGCCCATTTTCGCACTATAATATAGAAACATGAAAAGAGCGTTATGCACCGAATTTGGTTGAAATCGGTTAAGCAGATCTCAAGATATGGGTTTTCACCTAAAAGTGGGCTGTGCCACGCCCACTGACTAATTTTGAACGCGGTTCCTATAAAGCCAATTTATACCATCTAAGAGATAAAATTTAATGTCTCTGGCGTGTTTAGTGCTTGATTTATCGCGCTTTTAGTAGTTTTTAACAGTACCGTTATATGGGGAGTGGGCGGAGTTGCCACCCGATTTCAACTATTTTCACACCGTCAATAGAAGTGAATTTTGTTATTATAGCATTAGCGGCTTAGGAGATATGCACATTAAACCTATTAGAGGCGGGACCACGCCCACTTAAAAAAAAAAGTTCTAACTGCAGATGCCCCTCCTTAATGTGATCCTGTGTACCAAATAACAGTCTTGTTTCTTATTGCGGAGCTTAGTTATGGCAAGTTATTTGTTTTTGATTAATGGCGTTTTGTGGGCGTGGCAGTGGTCCGATTACGCCCATCTGCAATACCAACCGTTTCACGGTACCAAGAAACATGTCTACCAAGTTTCATAAAGATATCTCAATTTTTACTCAAGTTAGAGCTTGCACGGACGGACGGTGACGGACGGACGGACGGACGGACAGACAGACAGTCACCCGGATTTCAACTCGTCTCTTCATCCTGATCATTTATATTTGCATAACCCTATATCTAACTCGATTAGTTTTAGATGATACAAACAACCGTTAGGTGAACAAAACTATTATACTCTGTAGCAACAGGTTGCGAGAGTACAAAAAAATAAACAATTTAACCTAATTTAATTGATATAACGTAAATACAGACAGATATAAGCGGAATTAAGTCAATAGGAACGGCCAAAAATCCTCAAATATGGCGAACTGGAACTAGCGGAAGATCTGAGCCATTTTTTAAATAGAGTTGTAGTATAATATTAGTACTATTTGTGTTCGACTTTTTTTCTTTTGTTGTAAACATATCTTAAAGTTGGAATCAATCGAAATGAACAAAACTGTTATACCATGCAGAAACCTTGAGTGAAGGTAATGGGGTTTCAAGCTTCAAACTCTCTCAGGATGCTAAAAGCGTGATTATTTTGTATGGTTGTAAATTTGTGAGGGGTAAGGTTTTAAGTAGAACTCAATTTGTACACGAAATGATATTAAGACTATTAAATATTGCCAACTAAGCAATAAATCGGGAAAATATTTTTAAATGCGTAGAAAAGTAGTACGATAATCTTAATTAAAGATGTGTTTTCAAATCGTATTAAAAGAGTTATAAAATATATACATACAAGTATGTATGAGGTGTGTTCAAAGGAAACGGGAAATTTTGATTTTTCGCGAGCTGTGTACATTCGATTATCGATATTTTGTTTTTGTTATAATCGGAAATATATGTTTATCATGTGTTTGCGTTAGGAGCCAATTTCGATTAGTAGTTTGTATTTGACAACAGAATAGGTTAATCACCTTTTTACGTGCTCTTCGATTTGGTATAAAGAATATGTATTAAATTTTGCGGTTGAACAGGCGAAGAAAACATCGAAACAGTGAAAAAAGTTGTGCTTAAAAATCGTCGAATCACTACTAGGGAAGTTGCAGATGATGTGTGGCAGCGAAGTTTGTTCCGAAATTGCTAAATTTTGAGCAAAAGCAATGTCGCATTAGTATCGCTCAGAAGTTATTGAATGACGTCAACACTCAGCTTTTGAGACATCGATCTAAAATTTTTCTTCCGTCCTTTTCTCTCCAAGAAGCTGTTTCTTTGTCGGAACCGTCGAAATAGGTCCACTATAGTATATAACTGCCATACAAACTGAACAATCAAAATCAAGTACTTGTATGGGAAACTTTTCTATTTGACGAGGTATCTTCACGAAATTTGGCATGGGTTCTTATATAAGGCAATGGTGCAATATCCGAAAAAAATTTTCAGATCGAGTGACTATAGCATATAGGTGCCATACAAACTGACCGGGCAAAGCTCTAGTAAGAAGCTTCAGTTCAAACAAAGTTAACGTTTTTTCTTGTTTATTTCTAAAATTGGAATAAGAACTGTCATGAAAATGAATAAATTTCAAGCCATACAACATTTTTTCCCTTATGATTCAATTCAGGTGGATATATTGAGGAGGAAAATAATTTCGCCTTCACACGATTACCATTTTCAATATTTTGCAATATAATTTTAGTTTGACGTTAACAAAATAGAAATGATTAAAAGAGCAGTTCTCCTGCAAAATTAACTCTACGTTTTATTGAAATTTAATGAATAAAGTAGATCAGAACAAACAAAAAAAAACAATCGAAATTCAGTTGCACACAGATTTTGAGTAATAATACGTTTATGAGATAAAGATGATAAGTGAAAATATTACATTATACATATATGTGTATACAGATAAGTGTGGACATTGAATATAATTCAAGAAATGATAGTTTTCTTTATATAATTATTTTGTTTTTATCCTCTTGCAACATGTTGCTACAGAGTATTATAGTTTTGTTCAATAAATAAATACAAAACAGACGGAATGCATAAAATTCATGCGTAAATCACCGCATTAAGGTAAGGCTTTGTTTATTAGCTGATATGATAATAAGTTACTGTCAACTCATTAAAAAATCATTCAAGTCAAGGCAGAATACCTACCGCATATTTTCTATATTTTTCATAAATCGTGCAATTACATCACTACTCACAAATGCAGCTAAAAGCGTTTTATTATCCCATCACAATTCAATGCCTAGGCCAGACGAACGCCAGGCAAATGTGACAATCGCACGGCACTCGCGCGTATGGACCCAGCCAAGGCGCTCGGCGCGACACAACAAGTAGTCAATTGGCATTCAATTGCCAGCACACATTTACATGCAATCGCGAGTATCCATCGCATAAAATTTCGATGAAGCCACAAATCACAGCACCGTTACAGCTGCCACAAATGGCACCGGGTAGTCTCCAAAGAAGGAGATGCCAACAAAAACAACACGGATAATGATAATAATAAATACAACAAATAAAACAAACGAAAATAAATGGCAGGCAACTGCAATAATAAACAACAACAACCCTAAGATAGGACGACAACCTACGAGCAACAGTTGCAACCGTAGCGCTGTGTTTGTTTTTGTTGTTGTTGCTGTGGTTGTGGTTGCTGCGGTGCAGTGAAGCAAAGCCAAAGAAATTAAAATTTCAAAAGTGTGCTTCAGCGACTATTTGCAAATTACACACACTTCAATGGCGAGGAAATTGAATTTAATGCAAAATTCATTTTAATAATATGAAACAGCTGAGGGGAGGGTAAGGAAATCAAAAAATTTGTAATCTCCGATGCAAATTGCACGAGCTTCTGCATTTACGGCTAAGTATATATGTATACATATGTATGTACGTGTGTGTGTTTGTGCCCGATCATCAGCAGCCACGTCTGTTGTATTCCTAATTTCTGTTGCAAATTTTGCATGACAAAAACGAGGCGAATTGCCTCCAAAGTGTCTCCGCTACGTAAGTCGACGGCAATCGGCAACGGTGGGCGCTGCCTGTACCTCCTTCAATCTGTTTGATGTTGCATGTGCGACAATTTTTTCGCTTATTTCCTATAGAACGCATTAGACTGGCATTCATGCTACGGGCCTCTGCTCTCCGGCGTACTCGCACTTCACA